TCGCCGCCGCCTCAGCGCGCGCACCACAATGGCGAGCCCGGGCCAGCAGCCGCAGCGAGGTGGGAAGCGCAAGGGCAAGGCGCAGTACGTGCAGGCCAAGCGCGCGCGGCGCGGCGACGGCGCGGGGCCCCGGCAGCTGGAGCCCGGCCTGCAGGGCATTCTCATTACCTGCAACATGAACGAGCGCAAGTGCGTGGAGGAGGCCTACAGCCTGCTCAGCGAGTACGGCGACGACCTGTACGGGCCGGAAAAGGTACGGGCCCAGGCGAACGGGCCGGCCCTTCACCTGCCGGGGGAGGCGGACAGGCCGCCCGCCTTCGGGAGCGGGCTTCTGCGTCTGCGCGGGGGCGTGGCCTGTCCGCGTCCCGCCCCCTCGCGTGCGTGGTAGCAGAGCCCCGCCTGGTCCGCGTGGAAAGGCTTCCACCTTGCAGCTTTCTGCGGTCGTTAATCGCGCTGGCTCTTACTTATAGAGTGCTTCCTGCGGCCCAGGCTTGTGTTTCTGAAGCTGTTTCAGAAACGTTTACTTTTTACGACAGCCTGTGAAGTCATGTTCAGGAGGACACGGCCCAAGTTCACGAGCAGCGAACTTCATGGGTCCCCAGGGCTTATCTGAGCACCTTGGCCGTAGCAATGTGTTTGTCCTAAGCAGCGTCCCTGAAATAGTGGGTTTAGTATTAGCTCTAGTTATTTCTCAAAGGCATGTATAAATAACATTTTCAAAGTAAGAACTCTTGTACCAATGGCACATCAAACCTAATTGTCCCATCGCAGTTTGCAGGTCATTATATTCTTGGCTTAGGATCTGGACTGACACATAGATCGACACCCCAAGAATTAAGTGAAGGAGGGTTAGTACAGAGGGGATTTAAATTTAAGTACCATCAATTAATGGCTCTGAGGCTTGGGCATGGGCAGGTCATTTAATTCTGCTGAGTTAGATAAAAAAGAGAATGATAGTACTTTTTAAGGTTGGCTAAAAAGTTGCTTATGTACATAAACTACATCCTGGTGTATAATAAAGGCTCCAAAAATGTGTACAGTTATTATTAGTGCCTGACTGGCAACTCCATTGATGGGGCAGAGAACTGGGCAACAAGTGCTTGTCCTTTCTACACTGGTACCTGGGGCAAGTTCTTGAATTGTTTCTTGTTCCTTAGTAGAACAGGGGTAACGGTTTTTAATTCCATAATTGTGTGGCCTAATCTCACCAAAAGGAGAGTGTCGTTAGGCACCGAGATGACTAGTGATGGGATTAAGGTCCACCCTGGAATGATGTATCTGGTGAGCACATTTACCGCTTGTGTCCCTAACTGTCAAGGTGCTTTTGAAAACATTTTTAAATTATAGGCACCACAGACTTCCTCCTCATTTTGGAGGGAGTGATGTCTTAGTATCTTAATGAAAGGCTTTGTTGTCAATATCGAGCTGTCTGTCACTGGGGGCTTCACATAAACAGTTAATTACAGCTTTTCCCATGAGCTCTTTTGGCGTTTCTGCTCATTAGCTTTATGCAAACAGTTTACAGACAAGGATCAGCAGCTCTCTGGAGGCGAGGGAGATGACGATGTGGAGGTTGCCTTGAAGAAAGAAGTTGGTGACATTAAGGCATCTACGGAGATGAAGCTAAGAAGATTCCAGTCAGTGGAGAGTGGAGCAAATAATGTAGTCTTCATCAGGACACTGGGGATAGGTGGGTCTAATACGCCTTAAGGTTATTGATCCTATAATATCTGGACATCTCCCGATCATAGAGAACACTGCCCACAACATGGCTTCACAGTTATGGCTCCCTCTCTACACTGTCTGAGCACTAGGCATATATGGAGGTTCAATGGGCTGATGGACATAGTATTGACTTAGGAGTAGAAACTTGGTTTTGCTACTTTCTTTGTATGTAACAAGGTAAAACAAGAGTGTATGTTCTGTCTAAAAGGAGTAGATGCTACCCAGCTCTAGCCTATTTGGAATGGCTTAGAACTTTAGGGAATGTGGTCCTGGTAGGGCCAAATCTTCTAATTTTTCAAAAGAAGTTGGAAATCTGGAGAAGTTTCTAGATTTTTTAATGCAGTTAACTAATTTAAAAGTATTGAAAGCACTCATTAGTCCCAAACAGATTTGTATATTATTAGGTTATGAATCTGAGGACGGCATCATGACCTTGTGCAGTTCATAGTCTGGGGCTCCTCCAAGGTCTGAGATCTAGATTTCTGTACAAACTTAGCTAATGGATTAATTAAATCTTTTTAAGTGACTTGTAGGTTCTTCTTTGTTTGTTTTTATAAAAAAAAGGTGTACTATTTAATGTTTGTTACTTTGATAGTTGCCATTATGATAGGAAAACAGCAGTATGGTTTTGTCATTGGGTAAGTCAGACATCACAAAAATGTAACTCCACTGTCTTCATGAACAGTTGTTTTTGATGAAAGCAGCAATAATGCTGGAGAGTTAAAATATTAGATATTACATAGTATTAATACGTAGTATGCACTGAAGAAATATTAGTTGGAAAACATAGTTGGTTAGACTTATTTAAAATCCATTATGATCATTTCTTCTACTCTGTTGTCAGCTTATGTCACTGACAATGGAAATTCATTTTAGAGATTTTGAAGAGGCTTTAAAATATCTGAGAACTTAGACTCTCAACTTGTCTGTTCCATGCTGGGGTTTTTTCCCTTTTCTTTTAGAACCTGAGAAATTGGTACATCACATTCTCCAGGACATGTTCAAAACCAAGAAGAAGAAGACTCGGGTTATTCTGCGAATGCTACCCATCTCAGGAACATGCAAGGCTTTCTTAGAAGATATGAAAAAATATGCAGAAACTTTTTTGGAACCCTGGTTTAAAGCTCCAAATAAAGGGACATTTCAGATTGTATATAAAGCTAGAAATAACAGTCACGTGAATAGAGAAGAAGTTATCAAAGAATTGGCAGGTATGTTTCAGTGATTTTACATTGGTGTGCAATGGTAAGTACTTGTTCTTGTTTAAGATTTTTTTGTTTAGGAACCTCCACACTGTTTCCCAAAGTGATTGCCCCAGTCTGCATTTCCACCAACAGTGCACTAAGGTTCCCTTTTCTCTATACCCTCTCCAGCACTTGTTGTTTGTCGATTTATTGATGGTGGCCATTCTGACAGGTGTGAGGTGATATCTAATTGTGGCTGCGATTTGCATTTCTCTGATGATTAGTGACGTTGAGCATCTTTTCATGTGTGTATTGGCCACCTATGTGTCTTCTTTGGAGAAGTGTCTATTCAGGTCCTCTGCCCACTTTTTAATTGGATTGTCTGTTTTTCTGGTGTTGACTTGTCAGTTCTTTATAAATTTTGTGTATTCATCACTTATTGGACATGTCATTGGTGAATATGCTCTCCCATTCTGTAGATTGTCTCTTCATTTTGTTGATGGTTTCTCTTGCTGTGCAAAAATTTTTTCATTTACTGTAGTCCTATTTGTTTGTTTTTTCTGTTGTTTCCCTTGCCTGAAAAGATGTGTCAGAAAAATATTGCTTAGAGAAATGTCTGAAATTTTACTGCCTATGTTTTTTTCTAGGAGTTTTACTGTTTCAAGTCTTTTAAATTTAAGTCTTTAATCCATTTTGAGTTTATTCTTGTATATGGTGTAAGAAGGTGGTCTAGTTTCATTTTTTTGCATGTATCTGCCCAATTTTCCCAGCACCATTTATTGAATAGACTGTTTTGCCCCATTGTACGTTCTTGCTTCCTTTATCATATATTAATTGACTGTTAGGCATGGGTTTATTTCTGGGCTTTCTATCTGGTTCCATTGATCTATGTATCTGTTTTCATGCCAGTACCGTGCTGTGTTGATTTCTATGGCCTTATAGTATAGTTTGATACTAGGTAGTGTGATAATTCCCACTTTGTTCTTTTTTCAAGATTTTTGTCGCTGCCCTAGTCCGTGTGGCTAAGTTGGTTGGAGCATTGTCCCAAGCACCAAAGGGTTGCAGGTTCAATTCATAGTTAGGGCACATACCCAGGTTGTGGGTTTGATCCCTGGTCCAGGCATACAGGAGACAGCCAATCAGTGTTTCTCACGTCTGTGTTTCTCTCCCTCTCCCTCTCCCTTTCTCTCTCAAGTCAGTTAAAAAAAAATTTCTGTCACTATTTAGGGTCTTTTTTGTTTTCATACAAATTCTTGGATTATTTGTTCTAGTTCTGTGAAATACGCCGTTGGTATTTTGTTAGGAATTGTGTTGAATCTGTAGATTGTTTTGGGTAGCATGGTATGTGCTTCCATTTCTTAGTATTTTCTTCAATCTCTTTTTTCAATGTGTTATAATTTTCTCTAACCTCCTTGGTTAAATTTATTCCTAGGGCCCTGGCCAATGTGGCTCAATTGGTTGGAGTGTCATCCCGTGCACTGGAAGGTCACAGGTTCAATTCCTGGTCAGGGCACATACCTAGGTTGTAGATTCGATCCCCAGTCGGGGTGTGGACGGTAGGCAGCTGATTGATGCCTCTCTCACATTGATGGTTCTCTCTCTCTCTTCTTCTCTAGGATCAATAAAATAAATTTTAATAAATTTATTCCTAGGTGTTTTTTTAATGCAGTTGTGAATGGGATTGTTTTCTTAGTTTTTATTTCTATGAACTATCAGTTCATTATTGGCATATAAAAATGCAACTGATTTTGAATGTTTATTTTGTATCCTGCTACTTTACTGAATTCTTTTATCAGTTCTAGTTGTTTTTTGCTGGAGTCTTTAGGGTTCTCTGTATATAGTATCATGTCATCTGCAAATAATGACAGTTTTACTTCCTCCTTTCCAATTTGGATACCTTTTATCTCTTTTTGTCTGATCGCTGTGGTTAGGACTTCAGAACTATGCTGAATAAGAGTGGTGAAAGCGGACATCTCTGTCTTGTTCCTAATCTTAAGGGAAGCACTTTTAGTTTTTGCCAGTTGAGTATGATGTTGGCTGTGGGTTTTTCATATATGGCCTTTATTATGTTGAGGTGTGTTTCCTCTGTTCCCACTTTGTTGAGAGTTTTTATCATAAATGGGTGCTGGATCTTATCAAATGCTTTTTCTGCATCTGTTGATGTAAAGAAATGCCATGTGACCCAGCGATTCCACTTCTGAGAATATTTCCAAAAAAACCCAAAGCACTAATTCAGAAGAATGTGTGCATCACCATGTTCCTTGTAGCATTTACAATAGGCAAGATTTGGAAGCAAGCCTAGTGCTCGTCAGTAGACAAGTGTATAAAAAAGCTGTGGTACATTTACACAATGGAGTACTACTTGACCATAAAAAAGAAAGAAATCTTAACCTTTTGTTACAACATGGTTGGATCTAGAGGGTATTATGCTAAGTGAAAAAAGTCAGAGAAAGACAGATGCCATATGATTTCCCTTACATGTAGAATCTAAAGAACAGAATAAGCGGACAAAATTGAAACAGGCTCATAGTCGATACGTGGGAGGAGGGTTGGGGGACTGGGTGAAAAGGTGACGGGACTGAGAAATACAGATTGGTAATTAAAAAACAGTTACAGGGATGTAAATTACCACATAGGGACTATAGTCAGTAATGTAGTAACTATGTAGTGGGTCAGGTGGGTACTTGAAATATGGGGGGGAACTACTCTGTAAAGTATGTGATGCTGTACTTATTAAACTAATACAGAATAATATCGAATATAAACCATAAATGAAAAATAAAATTTTTTAAAAAGAATTTTTTAAAGGTTTAAGGCTTACATTTTTTTAGTGTAGAGCAAATATATTAAAATGTCTTTAAAATAATATCAAACCTAACTGATTTCAGTATGTTGGATATGAGATTTTCTGATTGTTAGATGTTATGTCTTTTCCAAATCAAGATTGACTTTTCCTTTGGGAAACAAATACTTTTATTAAATATCTCAGGATTTCATTTGCATTTATTTTTTTGAAAGAGTTCAGGGTATGTGACTGAGATCTTTGTAGAAGAGTGGACTTGTATGTGTTTTGGTTTAACAAGTCCCAGGCAGAAAGAGATGAAACATTGTTTTTGTACCCATCAAGCGTCAGGGTATCCTTTTCAGCCTAAGTGCTTCCCTCTTCTTTTTGTTACAGGAATAGTAGGAAGCCTCAACTCAGAAAACAAAGTGGATCTTACCAATCCGCAGTACACGGTAGTAGTAGAAATCATTAAAGCTGTCTGTTGCCTGAGTGTTGTGAAAGATTACGTGTTGTTCAGAAAGTATAATCTCCAGGAGGTGGTAAAGAGTGCTAAGGACTCGCCACAGCTTAACTCCAACCAGGCAGCGCAAGCAGGAAACGGGGAAGAAGCTAAAGTGGAAGCTGGTGACAGATCAAATCAAAATGACCAAGCAGAAGGAGAAAATAACCAGCCAGAGAATACTGAGGAGCTGGGGCAGACAAAACCTGTATCTGAGACACAGGTGGTGAATGAGGGAGGAGTTAAACCTGAACTTGCAAGTCAAGTCACAGAAGGATCTGAGTCAAATGAAAATGACCTCTCATAGGAAAAAAAAAATCATTTGGTGTTGGAGGTGAGTTTCTCTACTGGGATTCTGCGCGCTGTTCCTGGGGTTCCATATAAAATTGTTACTGAAAATTTTGTTTTTGACCTTGTGCTGTACTGCTATGTTCACAGTAGTGAACAGTGACAGAGGAGCCCTGTTGACAGTTCTCTTAGCGATTGTGTCAGCCCTGGATGGCGGCGTGCAGTAGGCCCACCTGCTTTGGGGGCAGCTGGGAGAAGCTGTGGGTAACTGGTGAGCACTGTTACAGAGGGGAGTGTAGTAGGAGTGTGATGCTGGCGTCTCCCTGATGATCACCTTCCCCAGCACTGCCACCTGACTAATGGGAGTGAACCAGCTCTAAAATACAAACCTCAAGGGAAATTTTCATCCTTAGGAGGAATTCTTGTGTGTTGCAACTCAGTTGTCTCCTGACACTGCTGTAAACTGCAAAACACGGGTCGTAAAGGTTAGAAGTGAATTGTTCTGTGAGGTTTTTCAACTTTTTGAGATTTTTTGTTTAGTTGTTAGGCCCGTTTTTGTGTTTCATTAACATTTGTTTATTACAGACAAATCTGATGGTCTGGTGCTACAGTTTTTGAAAGCAAAGTGTAAGGTAGAAGGGAACCACACTAGGCATAGAACACGGGCATTTCTGATAAGGGTAGTGATGATGAATTACAGTCCTCTGAGGTTCTTGAGTATATTGGTGCAGCAAGGAACAGAGAGAAATTGTTTCTTTACAATGAAAGCTACTTTTTAATGGTTTTATATGGATGTATAATCCAAGCTGTCCTATTCCCCTGTACATCGTCTGTGGAATGCAACCTATAAACCTAGCTGTTGGTCCAGCAGTTGTAACTATAAATCATAGCCATTTGATAAGTAAAGATGTTGATTGCCTTGAATGGTCTTTGGAATATCAAAACAGTAAAGCTTTTGTTCAAAAAAAATCACATTCAGTGAAAACATTTAGGAAGCAAATTACCTAGTAGCGTAACTTATTCCACAAAATAAAATCTCACATAGTTGGTAAGAATCTAATAATACCAACATTGAAATGCTAGGGCAAGAAGTTCAAGAAACTGAAAAGATTTTACTCCAGTTTAATAAATTGACTTACGTCACATGATGCTAAAAGGTGTTTTTTTTTGTCATTAGCAGCTTCTCTATCTGTGTTGACAAGTCAACAGATTCCACGAATATATATTTATTAATTAATTTATTTTTTCAACTACAGTTGGCATTCAATATAATATTAGTTTCCAGTATACAGCATAGTGGTTAGACATTTATATAACTTATGACAAATATATGACATAGTGTAGCATTTGCAAGATTTGTAAATGATGGTGAAATTCAAGAAAACGTTTGCCGCAAGGTGCCTCCCAAAACAAAGGGTAATATAAATTCAATGGGTCTTCGTATCTGGTGCCCCATCACTGGTTGGCTTCATGACAAGTTTTGCCTCATTTCACAGAAAAGTTCTGATATAAAAAACTGGATGACTTGAAAGTTTTGGGTAATGCTACAAAATGGTTACTTTATTAGAGACCCATTAATTCAAGTATATTTTTTTAAAATCCCCAAACTAAAACATAAACAAAGAGCACATAACTTCTTTTACATATAGAAGCCAGTGGCTTATCAGAGGAGGATACTTGGGTTGAAGATGAATTACCAGAGTATTTACAAGAAAATACGGGGCCAGATTTTGCTGAATGCTGTGGGGATATAGAATGGCTACAGATTCAGTCTACTTAGCAGACATTTCTCACTGGGTGAACAAAAAACATGTTTCTGCAAGGTCCTGGGGGAAAAGCTTTTCTTAAAAGTGACGGGATCCTTAGATTAAAAATAATGGACTCTGGGACAACCACTTGGGAATGAGAGTGAAGAAAGTAACAAGTCTCAGGCCACTAAAACTCTCCTCGAAGAACTGCAAAACCAAATTAAATAGCATTTTCCCTCCTAACACTTGAGTATGGCTGGGAGAGGAACCCCTTTTCCCAAGTCTCAGCCTGAGATTTTTGTCTGCAAAGAGAATGAATTGAGTCCTAGACTGACGTTCTGGATTTCTGTGACATTGAGTTTCCTTCAGTTTGGTGCTCACACTCACAGGCCATGAGGATTCCCTTAACTTGAAAGTTTTTTCAAGGGTTCCTCCAAGGCAAGACTATTGAAAAAAGCCCAAAGAGACAAACACCAAAGAAGGTTGTGAGATGTCCAGACTGAGAATATTAAGGGGCTGTGAAGTTAGCTTTTGGAGATTTATTCTTAAACTATAAAAAAGTTTGGAAGTATTACAAATGGTAAGCCTTCCCTCACCGATGGCGACGTTGGTACAGTGACTAGTGAGCATGGGAATATTTTTTTATCCCAGGTGGAGTCCTGCTTGGCAACCCGGAGTGGAAGGATTTGGGGGGGCGGAGGATAGGTGGCTAATGCAGGCGAGGCTGGGACTTCCCCACACACCTTTATGTAGAACAGTAACCCAGCAGGTTGAAGGCATCCTGAAGGGATAAGCATTCCGAGGGCCATTTGGGGAACACGGTAGGATTTTGGTGCCTTCATCAGACTTGCTCCAAGTCAAAGATTACTTTTATTTCAACAGTGCAAGACTCGGACTCGGAATAAAACTGGCCGTATGCATAGAGAACGCACAACTCCACGGAGCTGGGTTCCTTTTACTTTGTGAAAGCTGCTACTCTACAGAAAGGCTTTGGTTTAGTGGTTTGTTTTAATCCCTTTTGTGTTTATTTGCGTTCAGTAAGACCTGTGTGACAGGAGCTGTTCTTCTCAACTATAAAGTGCTGTATTCTGTTGGAATCGGAATTCATTCAGTGAAAGACTTGTGTTCAAGTTTACCTGCTTTTTTTTCTCACCGACATTTGAGCATGTTATTTTATAAAGGACGAGATTCCAGGTTAGAATTGAATGCTTCTTTTTTTTCTTTGAAAAAAATTATGTCAGTGTAAAAAAGTCCACCTCAGCTTTGTGGTTCGGTAAACTTGTCATGATTTCTGAATGTTATTTTTACTTGTATCGCTTTTGGTTTTACTTGTATTGCTTTGGGTACAAGCCAAGTATTGAGCTTGTTTTTTTATAGTTCCTGATATTTTTAGAAAAAATCAAAATAAATTTGTTCCATAAAGATTGGTGGTCTGTACTCTTTCTTCCTTTCTTTCTTTTCTTTTCTTTCTTTCTTTCTTTCTTTCTTTCTTTCTTTCTTTCTTTCTTTCTTTCTTTCTTTCTTTCTTTCTTTCTTTCTTTCTTTCTT